AAGGACAGCGTGCTGGTGTAAAAGGATTTTTCAAACGAAACCGATATGGTGACCAAACGGGTGGACCTGCGCGTATCCGAACTCGGAGAACTATAGCTCTGTCCTCCCCCTGGTCAGGATGTATTACGATTTTATAGAGTGGGTCAAAACTGCAGCAGGATGTAGAGTGGGTCATGGGGGCTCTGTGTGCTAACTTTGGTCTTGATTGGTCATTAGATGAGTTTTGCAGCAGTCTTGGGTAGTGGAGGTACTTGAAGTCCCATCATCCATGGTCTGTCGTCCTCCAAACTGCTCCAGGATGTAGAGTGGGTCATTGAAGCTCCATGTGCCAAGTTTAGTCTTGATGAGTCATTGGCGTGGGTCTCAGTGGTCTCAGGAAGTGAGTGAAGTGACTGCAAGTCCCATCATCCATTGTCAAATTCTTCCAAACCGCACCAGGATGTAGAGTGAGTTATGCGGACTCTCTGTGTAAATTGTGGTCCTGATCCATCATTGTTGGCAGTTATAATGGTCTTAGGAAGGGAGTGCAGGTATTGCAAGTCCCATCGTCCATGGTGCATCCTCCTTCAAACTGCACCTGGATGTAGAGTGCGTCATGGAGGCTCAGTGTGCCAAGTTTGGTATTTTTTGGTAATTGGATGAGGGTTGCAGTGGTCTGAAGAATGAGCAATGGTACTGCAAGTCCCATAATCCACGGTCCATCCCCGGCCAAACCACACCAGGGCATAAAGTGAGTCATGAGAGGTCTATGTGCCAAGTTTGGTCTACATCAGTCATTGGATGAAGGTCACAGCGGTCTCAGAAAGTGAGTAATGGTACTGCAAGTCCCATCATCCATGGTCCATCCTCCCCCAAACTGCAGTAGGATATAGAGTGGGGCATGGGGGCTCTGTGTGCCAAGTTTGGTCTTTATTGGGTAGTGTTCTGACCCAGCCCCCGGCCTTTCCTTTCCTCTCTTTTTCATCTCGGAATGTTGGATTTGAGGCTGGCCAATCAGAGACCATATGCAAATTTCCTTCTGTCATGCCCCGTTTCTGCCATGAGCCCTCTTCTCCACCAGGGGCTCCTATTGAAGGTGGCCAATCAGAGACCATATGCAAATAGCACCGCAGCGGCAGCCAATCAGAACGCTGCCACATACTCCTTCCTCTGTCCGATACAAACATTCTCTTTTATTATATATATAGATTGTAACATTGGGGGGGATCAGGGAGGAGTAATGGTATTACCCTGCCAAATAAGAATTTTGCCACCCCCATTGAATGTTATTGTAGTCACCAAATTTCTAGCATTGCGGACAGTCACTGGTACCTATTCACACCCAATTCTTATATGGAGCACCTGGTGCCACAGTGGGTTAAACTGCTGCGCTGCTGAACTTGCTGACCGAAAGGTTACAGATTGGAATCCGGGGAGCAGGGTGAGCTCCTGCTGTTAGCCCTAGCTCCTGCCAACCTAGCACTTCAAAAACATGCAAATTTGAGTATCAATAGAATCATAGAATCAAAGAGTTGGAAGAGACCTCATGGGCCATCCAGTCCAACCCCCTGCCAAGAAGCAGGAATATTGCATTCAAATCACCCCTGACAGATGGCCATCCAGCCTCTGTTTAAAAGCTTCCAAAGAAGGAGCCTCCACCACATTCCAGGGAAGAGAGTTCCACTGCTGAACGGCTCTCACAGTCAGGAAGTTCTTCCTCATGTTCAGATGGAATCTCCTCTCTTGTAGTTTGAAGCCATTGTACCACTCTGGCGGGAAAGTAACGGCAATCCATGCAGTCATGCTGGCCACATGACCTTGGAGGTGTCTATGGTCAATGCTGGCTCTTCGGCTTATTTATTTATTTATTTATTTATTTCCAATATTTCTATTCCGCCCTTCTCAACCCCTGAGGGGGGACTCAGGGCAGCTTAGAAAAGGAGATGAGCACCAACCCCCATAGTTGGGCACGACTGGACTTAATGTCAGGGGAAAACCTTTACCTTTACTAATTCTTATATTTACTGTGTTTACATTCCATGCAAATTGTGTATTTCTAAGCACTCAACTCAAAATTTTACCGCAAACTAATGATAGAAATTTGGGGAAGGAAAGGAAAAATCCATTTGGGCAGGGCAGAATTCTTATAAAACAGGCATGGGCAAACTTTGGCCCTCCAGGTGTTTTGGACTTCAACTCCCACCATTCCTATTAGGCAACTTTTGGTGGAAGTGGACCACAGAATTGACCCGGAGGAGCTAAAAATGTCTAGAGAAATGCTGTCTAGAGTTAAAATAAAAGTAAACAAAGGAAGTGTTTTCTCAGTTAAAGATAAGAGCAGGCCTATATTCAATTTTTCCCCACTTTCATGGGAATCGTGTGCCCCATAACCTCTGCAAAAGGCATCTTCTAGGAAGCATTCTCAATTTAGTAATGGGAAACCTTAATAGATATCTTCCTGAATATGACATGAAGAAATGCAAGATGAATTACAGTGGACACCGGAGAGTGATTGGAGAACTGTATTGTGCATAGTGAATCAATATTGTTCAGTCCCAAGTTTCTATATATTTATATAGCTCGTTTATTTAAAGGGCCAGTGAGGCTTCTCAAGGACTACCTCAGTATCAGTGTGGAATTAATTGAACCACAATGTATATCTGGTTTATAGTGCATTGATCTGTAAACTGCTTTCAGATTGTTACTGCATATTTATCCTCACAACAGTCCTGCAAGAAAAGTTAGACTGAGATCAATTGCATTGCCTAAGGCCATCCAGTTAATTTCATAATGGGGAAGAAGGGGGTAAGACGAAGATTTGAAGCCATGCCATTCACTTCACTACAGTTCTGTGCAGAAGTGCAAAGCAAGAGATGTCAGCCATTCAAATTATTTCTGATTAAATGAACACGGCTAATACTCAAAGTCGGTGTGATAAATCAGGTGAGTCCTTCAGCAGGTAGCTCTTGTATGCATCTCCCATCCACCTGCATTACTCCAGGAATGATGTCTTGGGCAGTGACTGTTTCCTACCAGGCCTAAAGGTCTTATTGAAGTGATTAATAGGATTGGGAAGCCTCATCAGTTCCATCACTCATAAAGGAAAGCATCAATGTGACAGTGGCAAATGACCAGTACCATTCTCATCAACTGCCTCATCAGTTCGATTTCCCAGGCAAAAGGTTGCAATGGTAGCTAAGACAGTGGCAGTTTCACTGCAATGTCTGGCACAGAGAGAATCACACAGCATGTACTTCTTTTGCTAAAAAAAAGGATACTTCATGACCAATATCGAAAAGCACATTTTTGAAAGATTACATATTCCACAAATAATTGGTCAGCCACTGACTGTGGGGCTCCTGGGAACAATCCCAATTGTTTTCGATGTCTACTTTATGGTTACTTAATTCATTCTTTTCTTCCTAGTCAGAGCTCATCTGGAATATGTTTAGACAAGGGTCCCATCTCCAAAATATGTATGTGCATGTATTTCTAAATCGTTGGGTGGGGGGAGAGAGAATCCAAAACAGAACACCTCTGGGTCTCAGTCATTTTGGATAAGGGATACTCAATCTCTACTCTGAAAAAGGGTATTTATGTATTTACTTTATTTATATACCGCCTTTCTCAGCCTGAAGGCAACTCAGGGCTGTTTACAAAAAGCACAATTCAATGTCCCCCAAAATAAAAAGCAATTAAAACAATTACAACATAAAAAGCCATTAAAACATCACCACCTCTGAGGATGCTTCCAATAGATGCAGGCAAAACATCAGGAGAGAATGCCTCTAGAACATGGCCATATAGCCCGAAAAAACCTACAATAACCCAGTGAAACAATTAGCATAAGAAACATCACACAAAGCAGTAACCAATAAAACCAATAAAAACATATTCTCAGCGTCTCACTACTAAAACCATTATCCAATTGCATTGTCTAGTCGTTCCGTATATCAAAGTTTGTCTATTACACTGCATTTGTAAATGCTTGCTCAAAAAGCCAGGTTTTAACTTTTTTTGTGAAATGTTAGGAGGGTGGGGGCCAATTTGAAGGGCATTCCACAGCTGAGGGGCCACCACTGAGAAGGCCCTGTACAGCTGTCTAGAATCCTGAGCAGGAATGATCCATACTACCTGGAGTGGTAAGAAATAGCAATGGGTGCTTTTAATATTTATTCAGAATTTGGAAACATTACTTTGTTGCCCCTGCAACTCCTACAATCTCCTAGTCAGCATGACCATGCCAGTTGGGGGATTCTGGGAGCTGCAGGCTGAAGTTTTCAGACATAATT